GGCCATAGCGTGTCATTGTTTACAAACAAGCATCTACCCATGAGCCTTTGCGTTTTAAACGTGCATTGTTATCGTCGCTTGGGACTCCGGTGCATGCGCAGGTGACGACCCCTCTGCTTTAAATATGATTATTTAACAAGAAGGTTTTGTGAGCCGACTAAAATACATATACGCTTGATCTTGATTAATTGATTGACTGATTTGATTGGTAGTTTTTGGTCAGAAAAAACTAGTAGTGTCCTTGTTCGGGATAGAGTTTTCAGTTTTCGTAGTTATAAATTATTTTTATTTCTAGTATCGTATGCGCGACAATGAGAATGTTTTGTAAATATACCAGTGAATATGGCAGGGAGAACATTATTGAAAGGAGCAAGGTTACAGGAAATAAAAATGCATTTTAAGTTTTTACAGGAAATAAAAAGGAAAGTTCCAATTACAGTAAAAAAAATGTTTCTTACACTTTACAGATAAAGCAAATTCCTAATTACATGTTACATTTCATAATATACTTGATAATTTGTGTTTAAGAATCAAAATTGGAATTTGCGTACAAATTACGACATTTAATGTTGAAAATGCTTTATACGCTAACAAAAAATTAGATTTTTGTACAAATTACTGATTACATTTATTTAAATTACATTATTACGAAAATAAAAACAATTGACTACAGCTTACGAAAATACCCCTTGCCGATCCTCATTATTTGCATATTTATACGTAAAGTTCCAGCTTGTACATGTCATATGTATTCAATACTTTATATTTTGTTAAGAGTGAACGAGTACATGTTCGGTATGCACTTCTGCTAATAATACGCAGAGCTTTTTTTTCCGAACACGGTATAATTTGTGTAAATCTTATTTACAAGCACTATACCGGGCAGGAATCCCACGATTTAGTTTTCTTTTCACATTTACGGGATTTTTGTTTATTTTTAACCACTTGTTAACATGAGTTTATATTTCCTTGTTTACAGTGTTCTTGTAAAAATCATCTGCATGTATTATAAAGTCCAGTTTATCAGATGCATCATTAATATATAGAATAAACAGAGGAGGTCCTAGAATGGACCTTTGTTGGACGCCACATCTATTATGTTTAGACACAGAGTTCGCATGGTCATAGCAAACGTTTTTTATTTGTTATGCAAAGTTTCAGGTTATGGAACGCTAGTGAGCTGCAAAACAATTCGCATATTAATAAGTTTCCGAATACAGGCATGGTGAGTACACGTGTGGGGTTATGAGATACACTGAGTACGTGTCTGAGAACTGCGACTTGAAATAAATTGACCATCCAACTAGCTTCCAATGGATTATGTGTTACTGTAAAAAAAAGAAATTGTCAGACCAGGGTGTCAATTTCTACAAGCCCAAGTCATAAATGACCTTTTATAGCCTTTTCAAAGACGCAAACAACTTTCCACCAATCACAATCAACGTAATATTTGCTCTATGTCGTACGTAACAATGCCTGGCAGAGAAAGTAGTTCTCAAAGCAAAAGTGCGTATTTTAACCGACTATAATAAAGTGTATTCGCTCTTTTTCACAAAATTATAATTTGGCTAATTAAACAAGGTTTTCGCAAAGACGTGTACAATGATTAGCGACGACGACGATCAACGACTAGTAAGACGTTTTGCTGACGCGTAGTAATATTTTGATTTTAGCAATATTCGACAGCGCGCGACTGCGACATTGTACGTGTATTGTCGTCTGGTGGGCTGTATTTTAAAGTGTGCTGGTGAGTATTTTTTTATTTGAAATGTTGTATTGGCTGGTTGTTTTAACCGTTATTAACATTATGATGCTAATATGCGACATATTTCTCCAGCCATATTTCTGATTTAATGTGTGCGTATTGTTGCCAACTTTCAGCTCTATTCAGCTGAGCTGGCGGACTGTACTCGCGGTCGACATTGAACCAGTTTTATTCGGGGTTTTAACAGTTCAAAAGAATTAAAACACACACTAAATATTTGGTAATCACTGTTTTTAACTTTTTTGACTACTTGACATTCTGGTTTGTCTTAAAGTTGGTTATTACGATATTCTGTAAATTTGTGAATTTTAGGAAGTTCCGTCAACTATTTTCCACTACATACACACAGCTTTTTAATGTTTAGCTAAAGGAAAATAGAATCGTTCACATTACAATTCGTTGGTAATAAAAAGTCGAACACTATCAACTAGAGCAAAAAAATCGACGAATAAATAAATTTAGTCAATATTTTTTTTTACCAGCGTGGCCTGTAACTGCAAAAGAGCCCAGGAAATATGGCTTGAAACGCCACGTTCGGTTTCCGAGTCGAAAACTGAAATAATTTCACTTTTATTAAAAAAAAATATATATTTTCCTCTCTGAAATACCTTACATATCGTACGTAATTGACTTGAGCTTCAGTAAAAGTTGAAATCTACGAAAATATAGTTTTCGTGCGCAATATACAGGGTACTCGGCAGGCGCTTGATCCGGCGCTTGATATACTGCCACCACTCGAAAATAACACAAAACAGAAAAGCTTTTATATCATTACATCAAAAATAAAATTATGTTTAAAATTCTATTTTATTCTGCTTTCTGTAATTGATATCATGTATCAGTACTTGTAACTTTATTCAAACTGAAATGACTGAATTGCAGCAGAAATCAAAACTCCTAAGACAAATCTACAAAAACTGATGATTTTAAAAATATATAAAATAATAATAAAAATTATCTGTAGAGATCCTAAGTCGATTTACAATATATGATTTTTTCAGCCTATGTCACCAACCTACAATAATTTATGATACTACATAATTTCCCTGCCATTGGAACCTATGGTAAAAGCGTTACAATACTGCCAAAATGGCCACTATTCAGTAAAAAATAACCATCATTTTCTCAAAAACTGGTGACCCCCAATTTGTTTGGGGGGGGGGGGTATATATCTTATATTGCCCTGGGGTACAATTTATTGGAAAATTTTCATTTCGAGTATGCTTCTACCTTGGGAGGTCAGTCTTCAAGAAAAAAATAAAATTGTATGTGAATTACGATATTAATTAATGTATGATTTTCTGCATCAAGCTAGTGAGTTTTTCACAGCAAATCTTTGAATGTCAGTGTTATGTTAGCTTAAATGGCACATTGCTCATAATAACATGACAACAAATTGACAAGTATTTTTTTGTGAGGCTTTTTTTTTTAATTTTCAAAATAATAGCAAATGAAATTTGAGTTTCAGTGTTTTTTTCTTTCAGCATATATACTGGTAACAGCATTGTTTTAACCATGGCTTTCATTAACCGCATGATGCGTAAAGTACCAAAGAAGACAGTATTAGCCATTGCTGCAGCCACAGCAGGTACAGCTGGTGTCATCTACATTACTCAGAAAAATAGTGTAGATGCAGCTAGAAGGAACACTTTGTTTCCTGCATCATCTAACTACCCTGATCTGCGCAAACATAATAACCATATGGCTAAATGTTTAACACCAGCAATTTATGCTAAGTTGTATGACAAAGCTACTCCCAATGGTTGGACCTTAGATCAGTGTATTCAAACTGGTGTTGATAACCCAGGACATCCATTCATCATGACAGTTGGTGCAGTAGCAGGAGATGAAGAAAGCTATGAGGTATGAATCAAAGTACTGTATATTGGAACTAATAAATAAAATAATATTTTAAATAAATCAACTAAAACATCACCACGTACTTTAAATTCATTTAGTCAGTTGCCCTGTGAAAAAATCCTGACAGAAACAACAGATATTGTTGAAGAGTTTAACCATTTTTTCACCAATATCGGATCAAAACTCGGGGATAACATTACTGCCCCGGGTGACTTTACTGAATATTTAACTGGCAATTATCGTGACTCTT